GAGCCTTGTGTACAGCTTGGGACTTTCTGACTTACAGTATACAGGCACAGTCTCCCTGGTTACTTGGTGTTATGGTGTTTTCCCGAAGGGCCTATAAAGGCCCTCTTCAGCTGTTCCTTTTTGTGGCCCTTATTGAGAAGGAACTCAGACGACAATCTGCTACCCCTCTGCATCTTTTAACAGTCTTTTAAATTTATGTAACTTTTATTTAAAATGTAGGTAGATATACTTCCCATGCTTGCTCTGCTGACAGCAGCCCTCCCTAATTCCAGTCTGATGCTGTTTCCCTCTTTTCTCTTCCCTCTCTACCCCGCCAAGGCCTGGTTTTGACCATCGAATACAAATGAAGGGGTAACATGCAGCCACAGGCCTCTGATTTATTTTATTTATTTATTTACTTTTTTTTTTAATTTACCTTGGCCACAGAGGCTAACCAATAAGTACCAAGTCTCACATGAGTATTTGTGCTGGAACTAAATCAGATTCTCTGTTTTAAAAACCTCTGTTTCTTTCTACAGCTTTTTGAAGGCACATAGCCAGTAACATGCTTTTTTTGTTTCCAGTGTAGGGCAGGATAACACCCTTCTTGGATAGGCTCCTCTTATAGGAAAAAGCACAGCTTTGAGACATCCTGTTCAGTGGCTGTGTCAGCATTTTCAGCCCTCTAGTATATCAGTAGCTCCAAAGTAGAGGGCCAGCCATTTGACAAGGTGGCTTTCTCCAGCTCTAGGGTGAATTTGAGGCTCTGCATATTGCATATGCCAGGGCTACCTTGTGGTTCTTCCCCCTTCTACCCACCTCTTAAGTGTTAAAGGCTGCTTTGACAATGGAGCTCATGATACTGTGAAAGAGATCTCCGAAGCATGTAGACAGATGTAACAATTATAGCAGTATCAAGTGGTACTGATAACCTGATGGACAAACTACACTTGTAGCCACTCTGAAAAGGGGAGGGGGAGCTGTTGCTTGAGAGCCAGTAGAAGCTGTTATGTAGTAACTGCTATCTTCTTGAGCCTGTAGCAATAAAAGTGAGCTAAATTGTACTAACTTTGACCCTATATAAAACAGGGTTAAAACAGAAGTGATTTTGCCATACTTGAATTGCTACAGAGTGGCACAAATTCAATAGTTGCATCATAACAGCTTGTATTGGCAGCCTTTGATGGGAATATGAGCATAAAAGCAATAATGCACCTTCCAAAGGAAACGTTCATAGTGCAAATGCAGTTGACCTTAACTGCCTTTTTATATAGGTTCTCTTGCAGACTGGGACACACAACTGTATTTTCATAAGAATATATGAATTGCCATACTACCTAGGACCAGGACCCGTATCCCTGTTTCTGAAGGTGGCCAGTGCCAGATATTTTGGAAGTAGGCATAAGAATGCCACAACAGGCAGATATAGGGTAATCTCTTTCATAGGAAGTTTTGTCCTGGAATGCCAACTGAAGCTAGGCAGAAACCAGAAGCATGGAGTCTCTTTTGCCCCTTCCAAATTTTCATATGCTACAGTAGTTGGCTATTTTTCATATCTATCTAAATTTCCAGTCCTCTTTGAATCTTAAGTTCTTGCTTTTGATGACTCCATAGTAATGAATTCCACAGTTTAGTTGTTTCTCATGAAGATGTTTTCTCTTCAGATTCATTAAACATTCCTCTGTTCCTGTGACGGGGAGGAGAGCTATAGCTGCACATCGAGTAAAGGTCTTTGTTGAACTATCTCAATGTTTCACAGTCACCCTGGGCCTGATCCAGGGTGCAAAGCCAAATTTGCAGGCCAGATCCAGGCCATGAGGCTAGGTGATGCAGCCCATGGTGCTTCCCATAGGTAGGGGTCTACTTAATTCATGGCGAGACAATAATTTTCACAGCTTGGTTGCAGCACAAAGAACCAATTTTCACAGGTGTTTCCCAGGAGCCCAACCTTTTGGCACTGATTGGCAGAGAGGCTTATAACAGTATAACTTGATATAATTTACTTTCTATAGAAGTTATCATATAATTTGTCATATGATTATAAATTTAAATATATAATTTAAATCTAAATTTAAATATTGTATGTAGCATTCTCCAAAAAGTTTAGAAATACTAAATAATGCTAACCTTAATAGATACACTTTTCACTTCACTGACTGGCGCTTTCAGTTAATCTATATCACTAGCAGACAGTGGGCATGTCTGCATGTTGATTTAATGTGCCCTAATTGCTGTGCATTTAGTTCAGTACTTTCTTAAGGAAGTACTAACTGAATGCGCAGTAACTAGAGTTACTGTGCATTAGCGTTGGTGCACAGTTATAGTGACACTTATTGTGCATTAGCCTAATAACACTGCACAGTAGGCTATTGGCACGGTTTTTGCCATGACACTCCTGTGCGGTGTTGTTAGGCTAATGCCATGAAATGCTACTGCACAATGTTGTTAGGCTAATGCACAGTAAGCATCTTGTGTGGACACACCCAGTAACTCTCAATCATGATCTATGGCTGCAGTGATTATCACGTTGTCTTTTGTGTTGTGGTACACACTGAAACATTCTAAAACAGCTACATGACTATTATGCAGGGTTTTTTAGGTTGATTTCACAGGAAATCAAGGTCAATGCAGGATTTCCTAGTGAGTGCAGATGTCATTTTTTACAGTTTCTGTGAAACTGAATTAAATAGACCTGTACCCGGGGGTTCAAAAATGTAGCAACAGGAGAGCAGTGGCAACATCAATTGCAGCAGGGCTCCCAGAGCTTGGGCAATTAAGTGCTACTACTCCGCCACTGCCAGATTCCTGGACCCATGGAGAATCCCATGGGCCAGATGACTCTGCTCCGTGTACTGGATCCAGCCTATGGGCTGTACTTTGAGCACCATTAATCTATAGTAATACCCAACTCCTCCTATGCAAATATGGATAATACAATTCTTGTAGGGATTACAAATAGTTCTTCTCCTTCCCCTACCCCTCTGATTTCCGCCCCCCCCCCCACATAATTTGATTTGCTATAGTGTTGCTCACTTACTCAGCTTTGTGAAGATGTCTCTGAAGTTCCACAGTCCTCTCTGATCCTGATTAAGCTATAAGTAGTGGTCATCTTGTTGTCTTATAATTCATTCACTCCCTGTGGATGAATTATAGAGTATAGAGTATAAAGGCTGTCAAGTTTTCAGTATGATGAAAAGTGAATATTTAATCCCACTATCTTTCTAACCAGGTTTAAAAAAAAATCCATATCTCTGTTTCTTCTTTTAGTAGCTTCTTGTGAGTTTGTCAAAGGTTTCTTCAAAGTTTTAAAGTTGTTAATTGAGCCGGATAGGCTAGGGGCTATAGGAGATGTTTCATTGGATGTTTATTTAGACATGGTGACTTTTTTCCTTTGCAGAAGGAATGCTGGTTAGACCTATTCTGAGAACCAACACTCGTATGATTAAAGTAATTTCATCTATGGAGATATAATAGTAACAGTGCCTCCATTACATAAGGCAGTGAGTCTTACCTGTGTCAGCTGTATCAAGTTAATTGACTTACAAAAGATCACTAAATATATTTATCCAAATACTTTATCATCTTTCGTGGAGTTCCTTTTTAAAAGCATGTGCCCAGTGCATTCAGAGCAGTTGGTTATATAGTCATTGGATTAACTAAAAGCTTGGTCCAGTTCCTAAATCAGTAAAACTCTCTGTGACTTGCATCAGATGGAGATCAGACTTTTACTCTGTTTAAGATTCTTAAGAAATAAGCAAAGGCAGATGGCTGGTCTTAAGAAATGGTTATGCAATCTTTCTCTAAAGTGACATAGTGTCTTGGAGTAACTTGTTAAAGCCAACCTAATTTTCTGTCTGTAGAAGAGATACTAATTAAAATGTAATAAAATTAATCTCTGTACTAACATCCAAAGGATGAGATGCTATCAATTATTCCTTTTCTCTAATCAGTACAAAAAGGGGAAATTGAAGGCTAGAAAACTCTCATTATGGAAAAGACATTCATTAAATATCCATTATATTACAAGAGCATACTTAAAGCCCCATCACATAAAACACCTAGGAATAAAAAAAAAGTTTCAACTTGTTCAAACTGAAGTAGAAAATATAAATGAGATTTCTAGTAGAAAGGCACTACATAAACTACCTGTACACTTAGAACTAGAGAAAACTGGTAAGTTAAGGTCTTACAACAAGCTTCATGTATAATGTATTTTTTTAAAAAAAAAAAAAAAAAAAAGTAGTATAGAATTGAGATGGGGAAACATAGGTGTAGGTTTATATTTGAACTTGTTTTGTCAAACTCCAGATTTGGGGAGGGATAGAAATGTTTTCAGTGATTTTGGTGTGGCTCTGTCCCATCCCTGCCCCAACAGTTGTGTGTATAAAAGCATTTAAAGTATCTTGGCTTATGGTATTGCAGAATGATCTTGGGAAATCTAGCCTTTTGATTTGCTACAGCAGTAGACTGGTTTGGACTATTAGTAACAACTAGTAATCAGCTAAAGCATCCAATGATTCTTGGTTTGGACTCTGGTAAGTAATAGCATCATTTATGTCTTTTCTGTTCATCTCTACTCCTTGCCTTTATTTAGCTGCTTAAAACAAAAATAGTTTAGAGGACCATGGCAAGTAAACTAATATTTTAGGTATGAATGTAGATATTAACTTAACTGGTTCATTCTCTGTACATGTCTACTAAATCATTCAAAAAAATCAAAAAGGTCTAATTTATCCTCCTATTGATTTTCTCAAATGACATAAACCAAGTATTTAGGCATACTTTAGGGCAAAAGCTAGAAATTTTGGGATCACTTGAAACGGTTCTCTAAAGGAGAGAATATTTCTAAGGAACAGGCCTAAGGAATGTTTCTCTAAAAGGTAACATTTTGAAATCTCCTGCTATAATTATGCAATGCAATTCATTTTGTCTTCTATAGAAACTCCTTACAGAAGCATGACTTTAACCTTTGTCTGTGAACTGGAGGAAGCTAATATGGTAACATTTTCCTTCTTTTGTAGGCTGGAGTAAAAGGAAAATTGGGCAGACTGCTGGGAATATTTGAGGTGAGCTATTTTCTTGATGTGGCAGGGAGTGGGGAGACACTTAATGAAGATTTGTTAACAATGCAACCATAAAATAGTAGCTGGTTCTTTTTTTTTTCTTTTTTAACTATTTAGCTAAAATCAAGCACTACCTATTTTGTAATTTTAGTCACATTTTTCCTGGGTTGTCTTCTAAGTTTTCTCCCCTGTTGCTCTGTAGTGATTAATAGGCCTGTGTGAAGTGGCTAGTATTTGCTTCAGATTCAGCAAATTCGGGAGACAGTGATTCAAATCACTGTCTGGAACCGATTCGGCCAAACCTGATTCGGAGATTTGGCCACTGCCAAATCTCCTAATCAGACAGGCCCCATCCCCCACTTGCTCTCCCAGCCCTATGAATGGCTGCCCTGCCAAGCCCCAGCTCCCCACTCCCTTTTTAAAAAAAATCTGTGGACTCACTGGCTCCTGCTAGGCAGGAGGTGATCCCCACTGCCCTATGCTGTGAGGGCTCTGCAACAAACCCCCAGAAGCCCCGATGGACACTGCAGCAGCCAGTGAGTGGGGGCGGTGGGAGGGGGCTGAGAGAGCAGTCGGGGGTGCTCAGGGGGTCTGGGGGAGCAGGCAGGGGATGGTGCCTGGTGGGAGTTGCCCTCATGGTCCCCTCTTCCAGCCTCTGCTCCTGCGCCCCTTACTTACCAGCATGGAGTCCAGGTCCAGCCCCCTGTGGCAGCAAGTGGGGCTGCCCAAATCTCCAAACCTCTCCAGATCTTTTCCAGAGTATTCGGAGAGCTTTGAATAGATTCGGACCTTTCTGTTGGTCTCCTCATTCGATTAGGATATTCAGCCGCCGAATCGGGCCAAATTTCCTACGAATCGAATCGGCACCCAAAGCTTTGCACAGCCTTAGCGATTTAACAGAAATGGCTGAAAGTGATATCACTTAATGGTCAAAGAACTGAAAAAGAAATCTCTTATCTTTACAGTAATCTTTGTAATTGTGTACAACAAATAGGTCATATATTGGGTTTTTATATCCCTTTAAAAGGTGGTATTTCTTTAAAAGCTTGAAAGCTAAGTGGAGATTTCTCATTCAAAACCAAAATTAACATGTGCACCTTTGCTTTTTATCTACCACTTTAAAAAGTTTTCTGTTTCTCCTTTCATATGAATAGCTCATGATGATGAGGTAAAAATAGAGTGCAGTTAAATACATCGGGCAGCCTAGCTGTAATTCCACTTCAGAATGGGTTCTGCTTGAAGTTATGCCATTTTGGTGTATACACATGTATATAATATTGGATTATACTGCATAAGATGCTATATGTAAATAAATGAGGGTGCTGAAAAAGCATGTTTCATTTTTCATTACTAGTTATATTATGAAAACAGTATTACTGTTTAGAAAAAATGCTGTTGTGTGTAGGCCAACAGATATTGTTGGGTATCATTTGGGATTGGTAGTGGTGCTGCTCCAGCAAGGCCTACATTGGGCATCAGGAAATTAAATTTTACCAGCATCTTATGACCGAAACTTGTCTTTTTAGAATGCCTTTTCTAGTACAGAATCAAGTTACTTAAGTTCTCCCTAAAGTTAAAACACATTTGAGTTCTTTAACCACATGAAAAATGATATGTTGAAACAGAAGTATGTGAAGAGATTAGTGAAATTATAAGTTTAGATCTTGCAATGGCTGTCCAGCAGTTTTCAAAGAAAAATCAGTGGTAATAAAGTATCTCTTGAATACCATTTCAACTTTGCTGCATGTGGCTTTATTTTAATAGTCCTGTATCAGTTTAATCTTTTCCTTAATTGAAAGGTCTACCCACAAAATGTTGTGGTATGGCTTTGTTCTTTCTTTAGTATTCTGAATTGTAGTTTGTTGAAATGCAAGCTGAAAAAACTACAAGTCCATCTTTAAAAGATCCTGAAACTTCAGTTTCTTTTTGCTTGTCTTATCTTGTGAGGGTAAATATTTGCTGTGCAAAACAGCAGTGTTCCACTTCGACATCCATTTCAATGGAACAGTGTTTTGTTTGGAGTTTTGTTTTTATTCAAAAACACTGTTCTATTCCGATTAGTCAAAACGGTTTTGCTGTTTTGATCAGGTGGAGGAAAAGGAACTCAGCCCAGCTGGTCTCAGTTCCCTTCCCTAGCCCTATCGTAGCACTGGGGAGGGGATCTCGAAATGTTTTGAAGCTTTCGAAATGTTTTGACTGCCCTCTTTTTGTTTCAAGGCTGTTTCAAAGTCCTTTGTTTTGTTTTGATTTTGCTGTTTCAAGCTCAAACAGTTGAAACAGTGTCAAAACAAAACTGCCAGAAAAGTGTCTCACAGACCTAGTACATATGTAATTCATACAGGTGTTCAAGTCATGTGGAGAGTGAAATTTGAAGCAAGAAGTGCCATGTCTTGCTCACTATGTTGGAATTAGAAACAACTATTAGTTTTCTTGCACTCTAGCCCAGCTGAGCCTAGTTAAGGCAAGAATTTGTTCTTATCTTGCTTGATTCATCACCTGTTCATCCCACATCATTAGAGATTCCTTTTCAGACCCTCATTCCTAGCTGCAGCCAAAATTAGTTTTGGGACCACGTGTTGTTAACTTTTCAACAAGTTCAACCACTGTTCTCTCCAGATCTTGGCATAGGGTGTAAATGTGATGTGATCAATGTGAGATTGTGTTCTGGATAGTGGAGCGCTAGGCTTCAAACCCTAGAAGTCCCATCAGACTTTAATTTCCCTTCTTAAATTAAGTATGCCCAATGAATTCTTGTGTAGGCTTTGTAAAATATTCTGCACTACTTTTTTTCTTTAATAGAAGCCTTGGTTTTACATATAGGAAAGCCTTGGACATGGTCATATTTGGGGATTAGACTAACTTTCTGCAGTCCATCTACAGCTGAACTCCTCATCTTGAAATAGCTGTATTCTTGGTACATCCGTTCCATAGTTCCTTCTACTCTGCTCAATTAGTCCTTGTATTACTAGGCTACATCTAGCACTATAGATCTGTTAGTAATCCTGTTGTATTATGCTTGTTTCACTATCTTGTCCCTTGATTGGCTCTAAATTGAGAGTAATGGGAGAAAGTTTATCCTTTAAAGTTTGTGTCTTGGTAACTGGCTTTAGAGTCTTAACCTACATAACCAGTAGTCTACACCCCAAAGGCTCCTGACTAGAAAGTAAGGAGAAGGCATTCTGGAACAGCAGTTCTTTCCTTAAACTGTCTACAGATGCTAAATATGGTTGGTTGGTTGGTTGGTTGGTTTGTTTGTTTGTTTGAAGTGTTAAAGCTAGGCATCAGTGTAATAGTTCTACTTAGATTTTTGGGTGGAAATGGTATGCATCCTTGGGATTGGCTGCAAAGCACTTAAGTGCCTGCAACATGGCAGTTGGAAGCCATGATAGGTTCCCTTGAGCATTGTTGTAGTAATGGGGCTAGTACCTCTGCCTCTCTCTCTGGTTTCTTTAAGCACATCCACCTTTGGTCAGCTTGTTGCCATTTACTTGTTTCAGGGTCTTTTCTTGGAGTCATTCTAAAGCAGGCTTACTGCCCACCATATCCAAACTCCTTGCTCCTCTGCAGACATGTCAGGGTTTCAGATAGCTGCAAGTCCTCCTGTTGGATCCTGTGAAAATCAAGTTAAGAGGTGACCTTATTTTGGAAGTGAAACAGTATCAAGAGTTTAAAACTTGTCTGCAAGAATACTTGGTTTCATATTTCCCTAAAGCTAAATTAATAGTTTGTTCCAACATCTGGACCAAGTTACCTTCTCTGAGCAAACCAGAGCTTTCTGTGTCTCTAAGATCTGCCTACACAGGGAGTGAAAGATAGTTATTAGACAGGGAAGCTTTTGTAAAAAGGCTTGTGTAGGTTGGAAAGTGCAATAGCTGCTCTGCACTAGTTCTCCATGCAGATGCTGTTATTTCACAAGGGGTATTTTTTTTTTCCACCTCTGCTTAATCTAGTGCCAAAGTACAAAAACTGGTGCTGGTGTAGAATAGTTATTGTACAATAGTTATTTATCCCAGTAGACAGTCCCTACGATTCTGAGTCTCTTCTGTCTAACGTATCCTGTTCAAACTGGTTTGGGTGCATTCTTCCTAATTGGACAAGTAGGTGCTGTTACCCAGTCATAATCCTAGAGTGAAGTGTCTGTTTGGTTTCATGAAAATCACGCTATGCAGATGACAGATCCAGGAAATCAGTCAGTATTTAAAGAGTTCCACATTTGTCATACTCCCAAATTTAGAATATTTAACTTGCCATCTTTACCTGCACTGAGTGAAATTCTGCAAACAGCACTACGTAGAAAATTAAAATGTTCCCTTTTAGTTTATTGTGTAAAATATAGGAGGCTGACTTAACGAATATCCAGTTTTCACAGCTTTTGTTTCAGAAGCAAAGATTATCTTCTGCCATGGAGTCTTAACAGTGATTGCCTAATACCAGTGCTGACAAACATTTGTACCTACATATTTGACACTTGCTGTGTGACCAAAAGTATAGTTTAATCCTAATTCCATAGTCTGTAGTTACATTTCTCTCTCTTTTTTATGATTTTATTGAATACTAATGCTGGCTTTCCTATTTTATGAGATATTGAGGTTTTAATACTTTTGTGTCTAGTCAGCTGGAGGAGCAAGATTTCCAAGGGATTTTTGTGTATAAGTACATGGTTAGTTAGGGAAAGTTAAGATGTTTGTGCCGACATGCATCACACCAAAATCTCCTGTTGAATAACATAACACTAATTTTAAACCTCTGTTGTATATCTCTCTAAAAGCATTCATTATGAATTGCTATGAATTAATATTTCCATTTCTAACATTCGAGCAGAATCAAGACCGGAAGCATAGGACTTACGTTTATGTTCTAACTGTGACTGAAATATTGGAAGACTGGGAAGATTCAGTTAATATAGGCAAGTCTTTTTGTTTTGGTTTTGCGTGTTGGGTTTTTTTGTAATGCATTAGGTGACTACCCCTTCCCCCCCCCCCCCCCCCCCCCCCCACTGCCCAGAGTCTAAGACTAGATTCTCTAAATCTAGAAATGGTTCATGTGGCATAAACTGAAACTCTTGGAAATAAGGAATTTCTCTCAACATCTGTACAGACTTCACTGGTTCTGACTTCAGATATGTTCATTACTCTTATTTTGTATAAAGTAGCCATCATAAAACAATAGAACAGGATGAACAGTAAAAGGATTTTAGACCGAATGAGAGTTCCCAAGTATTTGGTCATAAATACAGTTGGTCAGACAACAGTACTTCTAACAGAAAACACTTGCAACATCAACATTTTTGATGCCTCTGTTAGCATCAAATCACTTAGTGTTTATTTTTAAAAAATGCATGAGAAGTCTTGAAAACTATCCTTTACCATTTTTAATGAAAAACTTTGACTGGTTTCCCCTATCATTCAATAATGACCGTGTTAGTAATAAGATATTTGCCTGTCCCAAGCCTGTTGTGAACAGACAAGAAACTAGTCATTTCCTAAATGTTGCATCGCACAAGTACTGATTTGATAACTAGGGGTGCACTGATAAAGATTTTTTTGGCCGATACCAATAGCCAAGTATTTACCAGGCATGTCAGCCGATACTGATCCAGTGACTGATTTACAAGAATGTAGCTGGGCAGCATGGAGAGCAGCACCCTGTAAGTAATCTGTGGAGGGGAAGAGGCGTTTGGGGGGGCAGGCAGAGGGAGTGGGGCTGGATAGTGAATGGGACCCTGGGGCCCAGGTGGGGAGCAGGATAGAGCCACAGGTGGCTCATCTGGGGGATCAGCATCCTGGTGCTTAAAAATGGGGGCGGGGGTGCTAGAACTAAAGCTTATCAAATGAGCTTTAGTTCAAGTGCCACTGCCACCACTTTTAAATGCTAGGACGCTTTTATCCAGAGCTGAGCCGAGCGGGCTGAGGGTGGAGGCGGACTGCCCACTGTGGGCTTGGGGCTTTTTGCTCTGCTGCCTTTGCCCAGGGAGCCACACACTGACTACGCTGCACCCCCTGCCCATTCAGCAGCTAGAGGCACAGCTTGCTACCACTACCGCTGCTGGATGAGCTTTAGTTCAAGTGCCCCTGCTGCCATTTTAAGCACTGGAACACTGATCCCTTGGATGATCCACCCATGGCTCCATCCCACTCCCCACCTTGGTCCCAGGGTCCCATTCACTTCCCTGCCCCAACCCCAGTCCCTGCCCCACTCCCTCCCTCACCATGGGGGCCTTGATCTGCTCCCCTCCATACTTACCTGCAGGGTGCTCCGTGCTGCTTGGCTGCATTCCTGGCCATATGCATGCAGTGACCAGGGGCCCTGGCCGGAAGATGTACTATATTTATCAGTACGTTACTGGCTATGCCAGCCAAAAAAAAGCCAATGGCTGATGATGTTAATTTCCCTTTTGTTGGTGCTGATCTGATATGGCACCAATATATCACTGCACCTCCATTGGTAACCTGAATCAATTTTTAATTATGCTGAAACAACCATAATTGTAGTACAACTTCCTTGTGGTTTTGCCTACAAATATTAACAGTACACTTCTAAAGTATGTATTCATTTAGCAAAATAGCAATGACCAGTTTAAAGTGCATGTTAGAGCAACTAAGGAAGCTACAGCAGAACTAGTGCTTTAGGTTGTTCGGCAATGCCTTGTCTACTTCAGAAACTGCTCTACCACAAGGCCAGTGCTGATGCCTGGAAAGTGAAGTTTTTTGCCCTCAAGTGACATGTAGTCATGCTATTCTACTTTTATTTATTTGTGTGGGTGTGGTAGGTAGTGCCTGTGTGCATAAAATGTTTCTTGTTTCTGTAATAAACTTGGGCTAAGTACAGTGTAGTACATTAAGTTGTAAAGGAAAAGGGAATTAATCCTGGACTTCTAGAATGTAACCCTTATCCAACTTGAAGTATTCAGTGAAGACTTAACTGCTTCTAAAAAATAAAGCCCTCTGATATTCTGTCTTGGACCTGATCTACACATGGAAAATTATTCTGGAAAAAGAAGAGCTTAAAGCTGATAAATATTATGCTTTACATTCACAAGCTGGATAACTTGATGTGCAGGTGCTCTCTTCTAGAATGAGTGACTTTTTTCCCAAGCTAGTTTATACTGAAGTAAACAAACATAGGAGCTAGTCTGGTGTAGATGGACCTTGAATTGTAGCATGCCAATTTAATAAGCAGTGAACCAATTTGTCTGGGTCATATTCTGCTGGTAGAGTCTTCTCAGCTGTTAGGATTAGACTCTGTTTTAAGCACATGAATTGTGCAGAAGTGGATAGGATGAATGAAGTAGAACAGCTACAAAAGAGCACACTTTAAAAGTTTGTTGAAACTAAAATGTCAGCAAAAAGTTGATTGCACACTGTATAGTGACTTGCTGTCACTTACTGCTTCTCCAGTTGTCTGTCAGAAAAGATGCAACTAATGTTACAGAATTGGGGAGGCAGGGAACAAAACTTCTTTAGGACTTTGTGCCTTCTCTGTAATAGTAGTACCCTCTTCTTTTCCAGATTAGTTTGTAAAGTTATTTCTATGTGACACTGCTTTTAAATTTGTTAAAATTGTTTTTTTTCTTGGTAACTTTTTTTTAATTTCCAATTTAGGAAGAAAGAGAGAATGGTTTAAAGTAGAAGATGCAATCAAGGTTCTTCAGTGTCACAAGCCTGTTCACGCAGAGTATTTGGAAAAACTGAAACTGGGTTGTTCTCCCACCAACGGAAATTCTGTGGTTCCCTCTCTTCCTGATAGTAACTCCTTATATGTCACTTCTGCACAGACTTCTGGGCTGCCTTCTACTGTGAGATAAACGTGTGGATTACCTTTTTACTCATATGCCATCACGAGGGGAGATGTCTTTCTGTGTTCACCTGCAGACATTTATGTAGCTGTCAATCCTAAACAAAATATGTGAATGCCTCATACATGTTTGCACATTTGACATTTTTTCCTTTTTAACAATGTAAAATAGTATTTCAGCAAACCAAAGCCATATGTGGATTTTTTTTAAGATGCCTTAACTGGCCGTTTTGTGTGCGTCTCTCTCTCTTTTTAGGCTATTGGTTTATAAACATATATTAAAATAACACAAACATCTAGGTTACAATCAACTTATTCAAGACTTGTTTAATTTTTAAAACGAGTAGTAGTCTTGCAAAAAAAATTTGCTTACTGGAAAGCCTTAAACAAATGGCAGTCAAGTTTCTTTCTTACTCCGAATCCAAGTTTTGTTAAGTGCTAGAACTTGAAAACGCTACCACTTAGTTTGGAAAAGTAAGCAGACTATCAAAGGCAGACCTTCACAGGCATGACTACGGTAAAATACTATAACATGTTCACAATCATAACAGAGGATACCAATGTTAAACTACTTATTTTTTCCTTTCAAAGGTTGCCCCTACCTATGCAGTCCTCAGCTATCAAAACAAAGGGCGCATTGTTGGCTCATTCAGCTTATTGTCTGCTATTGATGCAGTCTTTGCAGTTCCCCAAACATCCTAAATTGGGGGGTGGGGGCAACAAATATACAAGAAATTCCTAATAGTAGAAAGCAGACATGAAAACAAGCTGATCCCTGCCTTTCCCAGGTCTGCCAAGTGTTGGTGTTCTGTAGCATACACACTGCAGATGGGGTGATCCCATAGTTATTTCTGGAAGTATTCAGTTCTCAAAGAAAAGTACCCTCTACCCCTCCCCTTCCAGTAACTTCTGTGGCCTAACTTTAGTTTTCTTCAAAAAACAAAAAACCTACCCATCCCATTCCTTTGTGGGTATGTCCATTAGAAAATGTTTGTGGAGACATCTTGATAAGGAGAAACTAGTTAGCAAAAGGAAATGGTACTGTGTGGCCTGGAAGTAGGAAGGGTTCATTTATATTATAGGTGTACCAAAATTGCCTTTCTTCGTGGTTTTGCTGAATGTCCTAATTAAAATTGTACTTGAATTTTTTTCTTAATTTTATTTTAATGTTAACAGCATCACTGTTTCCAAGTGGAAAGCTAACCTGCTGGTAAAACTTCACTGACAGGTCTCCCTTTTTTTAATCATCATTTTCCATTAAATGTCTGCCACCTGAAAAAAGGTGAAAGCCAAGTCAGCTGCAGGTCCCAAATATGTTCTTGCCGTAGTGCCATTAAGGTAGGATTTTCTTTTCTTGTGCAGACAGACACCTTTTACGCATTACAGCTAACTACAGTTTTTTCTTTAATCAGCCAAAACTGAGGTTGAGGTAAACTATTGCCTCGCTTGTGAAGACTATTTTGGGTAAGCTCATTCTTTTACATAGCATTTGAACCTTTGTAAATAGTCCAACTGGTAAATAGTGAGTGTAAAATGGAAAATAAATGTAATTTAAACATTTTGTTACTCAGTACACAAATGGCTAACTTCTACTTTTTTAACACAAATTGTGTAAAATGCTGCTATAAATTAAACTTGCGTGCTGTTACACTTTTTTTTTTAGGAACAATTTGGTGCCACAAGTTGATTCTTTAATGAATGAAATCTTGTGCCATATACAAATGCTTTTAATCCATAGAGGCTAATGTTTTAGAGGTTTTGCTTCATAAAAACTGTTCTTTTTGAAGAAGCATAAATGCTACTGATCAGAACTGGGCATAAATGAGAGCCACAAATCGGCAATCCTCTGAACTTCAGAGTAAGGCATCTTCTCTCAGATCTCCAGCTCAGAACTAGCTCTGTGGTTCCTAATTCCAGGTCACTTGAAAAACTAAAAAAGGATTGTTGTCTATATCTAGCTCAGATGCAGCCAGAGATGGAAATATCATGATCAGTTGATCTAGTGAGATTTTAAATCCATTTAACTCTGACCCCATTCTGGGCCTGAACACCATCCATTCATCATGTCTCTACTACTGACTGAAGGTCTAGCAAAATTTCTTATTAAGCTTTCTCTAGATGTTTAATTTAAGTCAGACACTTTTACAAAGGAACATCCAATATTCCAATTACAGCTAATGTTTTGTCATGGCACACCTGATTTTTTTTTTTTTTTTTTTTTTCTTCTCGTTTTAGATTGAACAAACTTGCCTCCTTAATATAGTATAAGCCATTTAGCTTCCTTTTTCAGTCTTATACATTGATGCTCATACTTTTGTTTAGTAGTCATTTTAACACTTTAAACTGAGTGTATAACTAATAATCTTTGACAGCTTTCTTTGGATGATGCAACATAATCCATAAAAAGTACAAGATTCCTGGGCAATTTCTCATTCTGGTTCATGAAAATGCTTCACTCTCTAAATTGTTTCAGACTCTTGGAATTTTAAAAAGCTTGTACAAGGTATTTAGTGGTGATGCATGATCTTATTTTGTATCTCTTGAATTATGTATTTGATAATGTAAAAAATGTACAGTGTTGGTGTTGCTACCAAATTCAGTTGCTTGCCTATAAATATTTTGATTTTTTTCTTTAATCATACACATTCAAACAGCTTGTGCCCTATGGATTTTTTTAAATACCAATTCATTGTATAGATTTCTTCAGTCTCTATGCAACCTTTAAAGTGAATGCCAATATTGCTTTTTGCTTGACCTCCTCTAATGGCTTTCTGTAATACACAGAACATTTAAACCATGAAACAGGACAGTAAATGGTAACTGACAATAATATTATAGAAGTTACTGGGGTGACTATGCTATAGGAAACCACTATAGCAAATATGCATTTCTCTTTGTCTTAACTGAATTGAACAACAGTCTACAGAAACATACTGTAAAACTTGGGCTATGAAGGATAAACTACTTGCATCTGTGCCTGTAAAGATTAAGTGTAGAAACAGTTTCCCCAAGAGTTTGCCCTCTTGTTGCCCTCTTTAACAATCTCCTCTGTTCCAATTTGGTTTTAAAAAATTAGAGGTGGTCCTATGGCTTACATTTATGCATTCTGTGTGTGAATTTAAAATTTCCCTTTACCTCTTCCACCAGATCATGGTGCTAAACTATCAGCAACTGCCTTGATGTGAATTGTAAAGAATCTGATCAATTGTGCCACTTCCACCAACTTCCACCATCCCCCTCAGCAGTCATGTTTTAAAAATGATACAAGACAAAGCATGTGGTATTAAGTGCAATGACTGCAAATCATACAAATTGGAATTTAATTAAAATAAATAACCTAATTAGAAAGGGCATGTGTGTTAACACTACAAGTACATTGAAGTATTGCCCAGACTGACAAGTTTAGCTTGGTGTTTTTCACACCATTCACTTGACCCAAACTTGGTCCGTTTTAACAATGGGCTATGGAGAAAAATTGAGAGTAAAATACAGCTAATTCTTCTTGATTTTTGAGAAATGAGATCTGAAAGAGAGAAATCCCTAATTTAAGTTGTAAACATTATGACATGCTTGCATGGATTTTCTTTAAAGATTGATGTAAGAATTTTGACTTTTTATATTTGAGATAAACATCAAAATAAAATCTAAACTAGTTCTGTGGATGTTGCAATCTTTTAATTAGTGAATATAAATTAAACTGAAGGGCTAATGCAGAATGCTTAGGCCCCATCTGAAAAGGGCTTGGGAAGTGACATAAAAAGAATCCAGCACAGTTTATGCCATTCCCATTCTCTTACTGTTCAAAATGGAGAAGTTTGCCTAGAAGGGCTTCAGATGAAGCCAATGCTATCTTGCATAATATGTAGATAAATTGCATTGTTCTGCAAAGCTTTGATGGTTTGGAGGTGGTTTGATCAAATTCATCACACAAAATCCCCACATGAGCCACTCCCTTCTTACAAGATAAAAAGATGCACAGAATAGCATGTTAGCAGCACATGGAGCCCCAGTACTCAGCCCATTGTGGTACCTGTGGATTTTGAACTGGCCCTGTCTACCGTGTGTAGAGCCATTGTAGGACACACCAGATCTACATTGTGTGCTGAACCCAGGGCCAGTCTGGATCAGGTCTGAAAACTGGCCCTGTGTGCTGGATCCAGCCACCCATGTCACATGTAGCACACACCCTGGACTGACCTGGTATATGGCATATGTGGGCTAGGTCATGGTGCATGCAAGGCTGGAGCCAGTGCACAGGGCCAGGCTGTGGGCTTGGTTCAGCCCACAGACTGGCCTTATGTACCTCATCTGGCCCCTAGTGCCAGATGAGTTTGATATACCTGTACTGAGCCTATCAGGTGAATCTTGAAAAAACTGCAGCAAGTCCTGTTCAGTTGCTAGTGTTATTCAGCAAGACCAATCCATGACCTGTTTTTTGCCTACTTCTCTGCATTCAGAAGTAAAAACCAGTTTGGATAGTAGAGCTGTCCTTGATACATGTAGTGATATGTTCTATACATCCATACCCAAATGTTTGCCTCTTACTAGAGCAGAAGGTAATAGGAGTCCCAGTACCTTTTCTGCTCAAGTCTCATGGGTCAGTATGTGTTGACAGACTGCAAAAAAAGAAAAAAAGCCAATGTGAAAGGAACATCTGGGGCCCAAGGCATCTTCTCACCCACCTCATCTCCTGCAGCTTCCTAGACCATTGTCCATTAACTTGAGCATTCTGTTTCTGACTGAGGCCAAAGCAATAGATTTAGGGGGGCAGAGGGGGAAAGGCTAGTTAGTCTTCTGGACATAGCATCATCCTACTCCAATGCTTGGGGATTGTTTGCAAGTATCCTCTGTAGACTGCTACATCCACCTTCCTTCATTTAACATAACATTCCTTCCATTGTCCGTTACAGCTGGAGGCAACTCTGGGATCCTTGCCACAGCAGAATAGCTTTTCTTGCTGCTAAAGGGGGTGGAGCTGAAAGATGCTGATAGGCAATTCTGTCACAGACATGAGCTCAATTTGCGTTTACCTCTTCTGTAGACTAGCATACGTAAGTCCAGAACTCTCCAGCTCTAACAGAAGTGGGACTCAGCCAAGAAAATGAAAGGAATTTAGGTTAGATCATAAAAGAAAGAAAAGATTCCCCCTCCCTTATTTGTATTCTATAGCACAGGGAGGCCAGGGATTGATTCTTTTTCATCCAAGAATACTTTTACTCAGGCTCTCCTGGCCTGAGCCAAGCTACACTGCCTCCCCACACCCCCCTCAACATAGCAATTACATTTTAAATTAAGTTCACCTTGCTTAGATTCCCTCTACTAATGTTGTGTTATCTGTGTTGGCATTAAAATGACTCCGTACTGGGAAACCTTAGGGCTAGCATGCTGTTGGAGGTCCCAAGATGAAAAAGGGCTACTGTTTCAGGCCTGTGGAAGAACTCTCCAGCAATAAATCAGTACTTTCTACTAACTAAAGTCAAAGTCTTCATAGAGGACATCACAGCCAGACTTGCCAACTCCATCCCTTCCCATGCGGGTAGGCTTGAAGCACTCCATTCACTGGACAGCAATGCAGTCAATATTCATCTTCACCAGCTTCTTGCAGGTGTTCCCATTTCAAACTCATTTTTCTGGTGCTTCTTTAAAAACCATAGTTCCAACTGTATTCAGACCAGAACCCAAGCAGATCATACCATACTGAGCATGCCACATGAAAAAAGTTAAGACTAGCTGTGCATGCAGGTATGTATACATTAAAAGAAAAAGATGACAAAAAAGACAGACTTGAGCCTGAAAATCCACAGAAGAATCTATCCTTGACTCAAGAACAGGAGCTGGTCTAAGAAGAAAGGGTATTTTCAAGGGAATGGAAACCAGGCATTGTCTAAACCCATTGTACAATCAGCACTTGCTTGCATAATGGGCAAAGATCAACACCTCCATGCAAGTCAGCCCCAGCTGGTTTCCAAACATTTTTCCTTGTGTGTGTCAATGTCAGTGCTATCAGTTAAATGCATGTACACAGCTGTTGGCTGTGTACTAAAACCCATCACCCCACCCCCTGAAGCAGCCCCTTAACCTTTTTAAAATCAAGGCATCTCTCAGAAGACGTCAGAAAAATACCAGAAAAAAAATGTTGACTACAGAAAAATACAGCAGTTCCTATGTTGTGAAAACCTCAGAAAGACCATAGGTCAGAATGCTTTTGACACAGAGGATTACTATTTGAAAGCTCTGGGTTTACCTTGTGAACCCTGTGTTTGCACACCTAACAGTGCTCCTATTGAAAGTCATCCTTAAAAGGATCTCCCAGCACTCCAGGGTCCGCAGCATCCTAGTTGACACTCATTCTCCTAGAGCAGGGTTTCCGACTGGTAACCCATGGGTCTCTGCAGCCATCTCTCTCTCGGCTGTGTGCTATTGCCATTGCCTATACAGCTGGGGAAGGATCTCAAGGGGATCCATATGGGTGATGCAGTGTGAGGACCCCCGGCCATGTGCAAGTTAGCCTTGCCCCACCATTTACCCCACAAGCAACAAGGCCTGCTTAAAACATGAGGTTTGTTTTCCACTTCAGAAGCATTCTCCCTCACTCCCACAATGTATTGCTGCCTCCCAAATATTTCAAACTTATCTTCAGGAAAGCAGGCTAACAACTGCAAAGGTAAGTGAATGACTTGCGTACAGAGAACACCAGAGTCAGTGCAACATTCCTTGCTGTTAAAAACTATCAAGCTCCATCTGAATTCTCAACATGCTATATGCAAGACAAAAATCAGAGCAGCTGGAGGTTTAAGCACCTGGGAGAGACAGGAGATAACTGTGGCTGGGATAAGTATGCTAGCTGCAGTAGGCAGCAATTCAAAATCTGAAATAGTACCTGTAGATTTTAAAAATGAATTCACCCAGACATGGAGGAAATTAGCTGACTACAATGAACAACCCTGACACCTGCAGAACCTTTCACTGATTTCTCTTTAGGCTTTAGATTTTAATTCTTCATGGTATTCTCATGAAGAATGCCAACCTCTTCTGCAGGTAAGAGCTAATAAAGTGCCTTATAAATAGAAGTTATCTGCATTTATGCCTCTAAACTTCCCTTTCTCCACTCAGTACATCTCATTCAAGTGAGCAAATTCAAATTGACAGCTTTCTGTTGAAAACTTCACCAACTCTACAAGAGTAGAGAAAGAGAATTAGCTATGTTAGTCTGAGGCTAAGCAGAAGCAGGGCACTAGAATAGTTGTGTCTATTATTTCCTTCTGTCAGTGTATGTTAACTAAAAATAGTGTTCAGCCACCATTGATACAAAGGACCTTGCACAGTCACAGCAGTTTTTATCCTTAATTTGTTCAATGCTTGCAAAGCAAGCGTAGCTCATTTGCTCACCTTACTCAAGTCTAACTTGCTTCTTAAAGACAATACGGTATCAAAAAAAACAACAAGGATAAAGTAGTTTAGCCACTGGGTGCCATTCTTCACACACACTTCAGCTATACAGAAAGATTAAGTGTTTCTTCCTGTGTACTTGGATAGCAATAGTCTAACCTAGAATCAACTCACTGACTGCAACCCCATACTGAATTTATAAGTAACCTGCTTAAAAAATTATGACCAACTACTTATACAATATAGGAATTAGACATACAAACTGGACAATTACTTACACGACCAACGTCTTACATAAAAATATCAAGGCTAGGACAATACAAAAAGGTTTTAATCAAAGGATGCTGTTAGAACACAAGGAAAGAGTCCTTCCCAGAAATTTTTGGTCTAAGTTTTACTAGTCTCCTCCAAAGTCACTAGCTGAATGGAAGGCTTAAAATTTGTCATTTTAAGAAAAAGATTGAAAAGACATTATATAATATGATCATTGTGAAGTTGAATGCTGTCATCCTACCAGAAAAGGGACCTCTATTTTTAGATAAAGCTCAATTTGTGAGTGCGCATTGGGGGAGGTATGTTACCCCCTTCTTCTATTTCAGTATCAATACAGTCATTATATTAGTTAAGACATACTATAAACAGAACCATAATATTTTAAAGTAACCTTCCAAATAATTCCAAGTAAGAGCATGCATAAGTTGAGAGAAGTTTCACAACTTCACTGCTCCATTAACATGTTTTACACTAGCCATGTGTTGGAAATGTGCTTTCTTGAAAGACATAAAAGGCAGCACACTTCAGATGAAAACAAATGAACTCACCCAACATTCAGAAGTCATTTAATCCCATTGGTTTCAAGTAACTTAAATACTTAAGCCTCATTTCCACATAAAATATGATCAAAAGTTTTAAAATGGCAATTATTGTTGCATAAAGATTTTAAGGATTAAGGCTTCTGTTGCACTGATCTCGATTAAAAACCTAATTACCGTGATGTATTTTTTTAATTTTATTTTTAACATTTGTTTTTACAGTCTGAATCTTGCAGCTACAGAAACTTCATACATAAACTAAAATGCAAAATACAGCTTCAGTTCTCTTGTAAAGGATTTCAGGATAGTGAACGCCTAATACCAAGAACACTTAGCTTTAAGTCATGCACTGGGCATCTGTTTTAAAAAAAAAAAATCAACTAACTAGGACTTCCTATGGTAAGTCAACCACATTGGTGTTTTCTGACAAATGTGGGCTTCCAAAAGATATCAA